TTTTTTTTTTTTTTTTGGTCTTCCTTATTCCGTCCCTAAGTGTAGCCCTTTGACATTTTTACCATTTTAGATGGACAAAAGTGTATATTGATTACACCATATGATTTTTTTACTCTTTCAACATACTTTTTTTTTTTTTAAACATTTTTGAGACTACAAGTGTACTATTAATTAAGATAACGTACAAGTTACAGACTAGATAATAAGTACACATCTCACATTTCACTTCATATAAACAACAGTGGAATTTAATGATAACACTTCTCCTTAAATATATATTTTATAAATTAAATATATTAAGGTTACAATTTTATACAATTTGATTACAATTATCAAATTAATTGATTACAAATTATTTTTTGATCATGAACAAAAAAAAATATTGGTAACAAATTATTTCACGATTACATACCAAAAATTTCATCGGTCACAATTTGTTCATGATCACAAATCAAAAAAAAATTATATATCATAATTTATTTATCGATCACAAATCACGAATTTTATAAGTCACAATTAGTTACACGGTAAGAAATTATAAAATTATTTGTCACAAATTAACAAGTTTTTAAGTTACATATTATTTATTAGTCACAATCAACCAAATAATTTATGATCACCACCAACATTTGTGACTCCCACATCACCATTACATCCAACCACACTGTCGCCAACACCGTCGCCCATACCCCCAGCAACACCACCATCCTTGTGCCATCGTCGACACTACCTCCAACTAACTACCATTTTCAACTATAAAACCATCACCAACATACCACCATTTTTAACTACAAATCCGCCACCAGCATCAAAGCCAACACCAACACTACCACCATTAGCCACCTACACGGCCAACACCATCTTACTATAAACGTCACAGCCAACACCATCACCACGACCACCGCCAATAACCACCACTTCATCAGCACTACCAACATCATTATCACCACCTCATCACCAATGCCAACATCACAACCACTACCAAAAAATTGATCTAGATTCTAAATCAAATTCGCGCACCAGCGATGATGATGCAACGACTTCATCGCAGCGACCAAGACCACCACATCATACCCTTAACACAAACCACAGTCAGTCACCCATTCCACCGTCATATTCTTCACCTAGCTGGAAGCCACTCCACAAATCTATCACACCACCTTCATTCTCATCCTTATCAACAATCCCATAGCAACTCTTCGGAGCGGCATTGCACCGTCGCACAGCTACACCACCGTTGCAATCGAAGGAAGAGTGTTGTGATCCTAGCTTGGTGATGTGCGTGGCAGTCGCCACTACACCGTTGCACAGAGGTGTTGGCCCTTGCGCCTTGCCAACACTCTTTGTCGAAGCGCTGCTTTGAACGACAATGTAGCTCCTTGTTGCAGCAACCGACGATGCTTACCTGGTGGCAACGAGTGATGTTGGCAGTCTCTGGTGGTGTGTGCTAAAGGTGTAGAAGAGAGGAGGAGGATATAGAGAGATAAGGGAGACGAAAATAATTAAGGTTTCGGTGATGGGGTGGATAGGAGGGGGTGGGGTTGTGGCTGGGGTAGGTATATAAATTAATTTAATTTTAGAATACTATCATTAATATTAAAAATTGAATTATTATATGATTTTTGAAATAAATAACTTGAAGTCTGAATTTGGAATTTGAAATTTAAAAAATGTGGTTAGGTGTAATTTCACAATAAATAATGAATAAAGTATCAAACTCACGATTACTAACGAGGTACTTATTAACTTCAATTAAAACTAGCCGTCATTTGAAACACATGGTCAATTATAATGGTTTAGTTTTAATTATATCTAAGTATCAACTAAATTTTTTTTTCTTTTTTGAATAACCGTGAATATTCGAACCAATTTGCTCGCACCTCGACTAAACCTTGGAATTTAATCAAGTAGCAAGAGACTCGAGCAATGCTACATTGCCCAAGTTGGATGACAAAAGGGGGAGTGCCCAAGTGAGGTGGCACTCCCCCCTTGGAAGGGTCGACTGGCTTGGGCACTCCCTTTTTTGTAAGGCTACTTGTGTAAAGTAGCATTACACCAAAAGACTCCATAATCTCGAATCTCCATTGTTGGCATACTTTAATCCTTATTAATCAATTATTATTTTACGCTAACAATTGATATTCCTCATATGTTAATTTTCTCTCTTCGGATTAATTAATACTCTTTTTTTACTCTGTGATCCATTTATATTTCCATGAAAGTAGCGAATAATAAAAATTCAATATAAAAATAAAATATCAATTAAGATTGCACTATGCATAAATTTATATCTATATTTTCTATATGGCTCAGTGATTTTATTATTTGAGCTAGAAAGGCGTAGTATATCTTTGTAACAATTTTAGTCCTAGAAACAATCCTAAAATTCGAAAGATAATAGGATGATAAAAATATTAAAAAACAAATCTCTCCTCACGAGGATAGATGGGCGATTCACGCACAAAAACCATTTATAAAGATCTATAGAAGCATCCAATATCAGAAAGTCAAAAATCCTGCTATAGTCATGGAAACTCATCCAATTGTACAACAATTAGAATGTTATTGCGTCATCAACAACATATAACAGACCTGAAGAAGTTATAGAACAAGGTAAACAAGGATAGATAATCGAACATTTTAGTATAAGAACAAAAATCACACTTTTATTGGCTAGTCGAATAATGTGTAGACGGGCTTTACATTCGTATACACACTTCCCATTCTCACTGTACAAAATAAAAATTCTGCATTTGCAAGCCTCCTAATCACTCTAAGTCAACGTCAAAAATAAATGAAGCGCCATACGAAAACAAAAATGCAAGCTCACGACAAACCTCCAACCGAAAAGAATATCAAGCATTTAACTTACCAAGAGAAAAGATAACGATGAGGAAATTTATCTCCAAATTGTCCTTCACCAAGTATGGAAATAAGCAACCCGGGAGCAGAAGCAGCTAAAAATGCACTGATGCTATCCCTTACAGCTTGAGAAAATGGTTTCTTTGCTGTGTAAGAAAGCATCTTCGGATCAAGATGTGAAAATGAAGTAATTAACAACACGTTTGGTTAAGCCTAAAAATGTAAAATTACTTCTAAGTAACATTTTATAGTTTGGATAACTCACTTTTTCTAAAAGTAAAAAATTGACATTTTTTAAAGGTAACCTTACCTTGAGTCAAAATAAGTAACTTAGTTATTTCCAACTACACCAATAAAGAAATAATTTATTTTAAGAGAGACTTAGTTACTTATAAGTCAACTTTTTAAGCTTAACCAAAATGCTCTAAATTTGCAAATATAGTGAGAGAAAAGACGTACAAATATCTAAGCATGCTTTCTCTAATCTGCAATCTATTCTGGAGGAACCCGAGAAAGAATTAGATGTCCTGAAAGCACTCAGAACAGTTTAAGTGACATTTTAAGCTTATTCTGCTTCCATTTAGGCAACTTGTAGAAAGCAGCCTTAGTCATCCCAAATTTCTCCTCGAACTCTTCTGAGGACAAATAAGCCTGTGCAAACAAGATTATCGAAATCTTCGTCAAAATAATTTCATAATGATTCTGCTATCACAGTACCTTCCACATGCATACCTCTCGCTTGGTCACATCAATATCAGTGGCAGGATCTGTCGATGATGTTGTTAACTGTTCATATGGGTATATTGAGAGTCCTTCCTCATCCTCAGCATCGCCCTCCTTGACATCCTCTTGTATAGTCTCTGGCTTAAGTTTGGGTGGTTCTTCTGAGTTCTCCCCTAAGTTGGTTTCAGGGTTTGGCTTCGGTACCTTAGGGCTC